TACTGTATATGTTTTTTATTTTATTTCAAGTAAATTATTTGTTAAGGATTTTATTTTAGTTTCAGTTTTAGTTAACTATAATAGCCCTGCATTTTAAAATGGAAAATCCAAGCTATATTCTATGTGTTACTTTTTGCATGACTATCTGAAGTAAACCACATAAAAAGTATTCATGCAATCTGTTGCATGCAATTGTGCACTCAGTAAATCAGGTCTGAGTGTGCACTTACATATAGGTATTTTAGCTATATAGATATTATACTGTATATGAATCATTAGAAATGCTTGTTCTGGAGAGCTTTCAGTAATCGTTGCATTGCTAGGATAAAACGCCACAAAGTATCAACTATAATTTCACAAGGGATTCAAAAAATCTTATGAAATACAAGTGATTGGGCATCTTGTGTGGTATAATTGAATTTGCATGCTGATTGTTTTGCTACAGATAATTGCAATAAACAAAAACACTTAGCGGCTTGAAAAAACACTTCAGTCAGTCACACCGAAAATTAAAGGCTTGATTATCTGCACTGATGATTTTAATATGCCACCCAGGTGTCCGCGCTAACCAGCACCTGTCAAAGTTTTAAACATGCAAGACAAATAAGCCCTCGGCATGACAATCATCTGTAATTACCTCTAAAAAACATCTGATTCTTTTAATCGCTCTTACCACGGGAGCCCACAGAAACGCACGAAAAAATAACACATTTCCACCCGGTGCAGCAAGGCAAAAGCAGTCTCATCGACCTGACATGAAACCATGACGCAAGGGAAAATCGAAAAGATTCTATTCCACATTCCAGAGGGGATTGTTTTGCCTTTCCTTCCCGTCTTTTAATTACACCTTCTCCCTTTGCCTTCCAAGGGCACAGACTCCTCTAAGTCTCCCAGCCTTCTCCTCTCAAATGTGAATGTGCCATTTTAAATCAGGGGTTATCTCAGATGCCAGCGTTCTTCTGATGAGACAACTTCAGACAGAATTTAGTCCCCCGGCTCCGTTTTATTTTCGGTACAGGGTTCTTAGGGCAGTAATTGAGATATTATCTGCTTAAGGGAAACCTCACATCCTGAATCACTATACGACTCAATACAAAAGCCCAAAGGGTGACATCTACATCCAGAGGCTTTTAAATAATGCAAGTGACAAATTGGTGCTTTGTAATGGAGAGGCTGATTTAACCCTTGTATTATGTTGCAGGTCAATTTGAGTTGTTGAAATAATGGTTAACATAAAAAATGTGTGACAATTTCTCATTTAAAATCATGAACATGCATGCATGCATATGCATACGTGCATGCAAAATTTTGATGTTGGCAGGTCAATTTGACTCGCACTTTCATGGTTAACAGCAGCTGCACAGACCAAAAATAAAAAATAAAAATATATTTTTAAAAAATACGGTGTGAAATACTTCACGAAAGCACACACACACACACACACAAAAGAAAGAAAAATTTTATAAAATGTAAAAAAATACATTTAAAATAAATAGTTTCAGTACTGTTTAAAATATTCTTTTTTTTTTTTTTTGAAAATAATTGTTACATACAGTTTTATATCACATTTTCAAATGTTTATTTTTTTTACTTTAGCACTTACCTTGGTTGCATGTTTTTCCTGTGTAACCTGGATGGCACTTGCATTTGTTGGGTCCCACGCATTCTCCATGTTTGCATCCGTGCTGACATACCGCTGTAGGCGAAAAGATCATCAGTATCACTTTACACCAAATGTCAGAGTCTATGCAGTAGACATGGAAACATGTACCAAAACAGCCTTTAGTTTTCGTGCTAAGAAAAAACTGTCTTTCTTGCAGTGGGAAATAAGTGTCCGTACAATTAGACCTCGAGGATATTGTGGACGAGAGATCCACAAAAACATTATTTTGGAACGCTCGCCCCCTACATCAATAATTCATTGTTTGCCTTGGTCATTTTAATGAACCTGGGACATGCCGAGTGTACGGTCCACCTCACTTCTGCTTTATGACTCATTAAATCTCACATTTGGATTGGGAAACAGCCCAGAGCTGTGCAACATCAGAAACCTTTGAGATCTAGACTTGGGGAAAACATCCTCAGAGTTGACATGGGGTAAATTTAGGATCTGTCATTTTCAAAATAGTGACAAAAAGAGGCAAATTAAAAAAGAAAAAAAGCTTAATCCCATTTTATACTACTCTTCCTAATATTTTCATGAGGGGTCTGTGTTTGCAGCTCTGGCACAGGAAATGGATCTGTCTTAGTACGGCAGATTAGGATTAGAGCGACGCAAATCAAATTATGTTTAATGTAGTACATTGTAAAAAAAAAAAACATCATGGTAACACACAGCACTAAAATAATGCAATAAACATTAATTTAACAACACTATGTGTAACAGGAAAACCTACTGTGCATAATTGATAACAAAAACTAACATTATTTTTTGAACGAAATACCATCAAATGTTAAGAGTCACTTTAAATGATAAGATAACTTTGTTTTTACTTCTAAAATCTGTACATTTAACAGTGTTTTACTGTAAAACTACCTCAAATGTCACATTACCGTAGATCAATTACAGTTATACACCATGTATAGTAAGGGAACTTGCTGTTAACCAGTTGACAGATTTTTACCGTAGAATTTTTTTTACAGTCTTTTACTATTAAAATTGAAAATATTTTTTAACAGTAAATGTCAAAGATGTCTTGTTCTTTAATTAATTTTTTAAAGAATGCAGTTTTTTTTTTTATATAAATATGCCACAATGCGGGTCTTAAGTATGAATAATAGAGGCATGCATATATATATATATATATATATATATAAAGTAGGATTAATTTGACATAAAAACAATTATTATTATATAATATAAAATAATAATTATTGTACCTTTATTTTAGATTTATTTTGTTTGTGTGTACACTATGTTTATGTTTATGTTTTTGAAAGAAGACTCTTACCAAGGCTAAATTAATTTGCTCAAAAATACAGTAAAAAAAAAAAACAGTAATATAGTGGAATATTATTACAATATAAAATTAAAATAAAATTATTTGAATATATATAATTTATCACAGTTTCCACAAAAATGTTAAGCAACAAAAACTAATTTTAGTCTTGTCAGTAATAAAAACCATTAATAATTAAGCACTAATAAAACTGACAAGACATCGAGCAGGAAATCAGCACGTTAGAATGATTTCTGAAGGATCATGTGACACTGAAGACTGGAGGAATGATGCTGAAAATTCAGCTTTGATATCACAGGAATAAATAATATTTAAACATATATTCAAATTACTCTTAAATTGTAATAATATTTCACAATATTACAGTTTTTACTGTATTTTTGATTAAATAAACGCAGCCTTGGCGAAAATGTTATACTTTTTTCAACAACACTAAAAAAAATTAATTGTTAAACATTTTTGACTGGTAGTGTATTCAAAATAGGTTTCCTATTTAGCCTAGCTACTTTATCACCTGCAGTGCAGCACATATTTTCCAGACTTATTTGCAGTCTCATTCTATGGGGACTGAGTGTGCACAGTTTGATCTGTACAGTGTAACACAAAGCAGCAGCTGCTGTACGTCTGTGACATTAGACTGGACCAGACCAGACCAGGCTTACAGCAGAACACTCAGCGCTGGTTCATAGCCGAGTCTGCAGTCGGCTGAGACTAATTTTCATTCAAAGCTTCATTGAGTCTCCAATTATGGAGGCCTATCAGAGCTGTTAATTTTCCTCACTGGTGCCATTCTCACAATGAGAGAGGAGCTAAGAATACACCACAAATACACAAACATGTGACAATATGACTAAGACTTAAACCTTTGAGGTCTTTTCAACTCAAAACCCACTGGACCCCAGATGGTGAATGCAAGACTAGATCCTGCTGGTGTGTACAGTAGATTAAAGACACACATATCTATTTTCATCCTGTTCAAACTGCATGAAGGCAGAAAGGCATTAGCCCACTCTGGCAAAAAATAGCGCGATAAGAATCAACCCGTCTCATTCTACCTTATTAGACTGAGGAAGCTAATCAAAGGTACATGTTCACCTCGGTTTTAACCTGCGTTATTCAATATGGAGGTTGAGCAGTAAGATCAAACCCTGAGTTAAAAACACAAAAGGACAAACACGGGCCCTAATTTGGCGGTAAAGCCTAAGCTGGCAGGAGACAAACAAGGAAAGAGGCAGAGATCTCTGACATTGAGAGTTTATCCGGGCGGCTGCCTTATCTCGCCGGCCAGACAGTTATCAAATGTGATGAAATCGTGGATTAATCCAGGTGGGACGCCGTGTGATCACAGGCATTGGTTATATTTTTAAGTGCTGACGAATGAAGAGCTTAAGGAAGGGGCTTTAAAGGGAAATCTATCTGCTGCGGTCCGGTTCAGTGAATGCCGGTACTTGGAACGCAAACCACAGGCGAAATGGGCCAAGGGAAGTAACCGTTATTGACAAACCACATCAAACGGTCCCGCTGGCTTCAAAACGCTCGGCACAAGTGCTCCTCCATCCCCGGAGACTTTCATTCTCAGCATAGCATACCTATCAGCGCTCTGATGACGCATGAGCGGACGGCAGCTTCAGAGACATACGCCAGAAAGAGTAATTGGTGAATCTGATGAAAATAAGTTTCGGAATAAGTCGGAATTTGAAAGGCTAATAATGATTTCTCTAGTAGGAGTAGGTAAAATCAATCAACCTTGCAAAGCCCTAGCCTAGTGGTTTGTGCCAGACCTGTAATGTCACCCTCAGATATTTGAGTGATTTTAAATGCTGACTTTGTTTAGATACATATAGATCATACTATAAATTAATAATGAATGAATGAATAAATTAATAAATAAATGACTTATATATATATAATTTAACACACACACACACACACACACACACTATTTATATATTATTAATCTATTATTAATAGTGCTGTCAAACGATTACAGTTTACATAATATATGTGTGTGTTCTGTGTATATTTATTATGTATACATAAAGACACACACATACAGCATATATTTTGAAAAGATTTACATGCTCATTTGGATGCACGTCTTGCCGCATTGTTTCTCTCTTATAACCTCACTATTTCTCACTATTAACCTAACTGAAGCAGCACATGCCCTTGTTACCAATTCTAAAAGTGACGTATGTTTAACTGTCAACTTGAGCTTTGAATCCGTGGCGGAAGGAAGTAGTTCCGCACAAAAGAGGGTTTTATTAGGCACTCCGTTGTTTCTTGTTTAATTACACACGTTTCGTTGAACTGTTGTATAAACGCAATATCACTCGAGTACGAGAGCGATACCGGCTCTATATCAGCGGCTGTGATTGCCTGCGGCCTCGTGCCTCTGGCCTAATCACAGCCATGCTGATATAGAGCCGGTATCGCTCTCGTACTCGAGTGATATTGCTCATATACATAATAAATATACAAAGTACACACACATATATTATGTAAACAAAAACTTTTATTTTGGATGCGATTAATCGCGATTAATCGTGTGACAGCACTAATTATTAATATATTTAACTTTCATGCTAAAAAAAATTCTACCACTACAAAATCATGTCTTAATCTTCTTTACAGAACAAATATTTTTTCCCCCTTCTTCTTGTTTTTGCTTTGGTCATGTGTTATCCATTCTAAGTTACCCACAAAAAAATAGATGGATGACATTTAGCTGCTCTATGGGTGATGCAAGTTTGCAAAAATTCCTGTTTCCATTCTCCATTTCCTGTCCTCTCTCTCTCCTGCTCTAAATAAAAGTATTAAAACGACCAAAAACACTCTTGATGTGAGATCTTTCGAGGTTTGTGTTGGGGAGCAAACAAATAAGTGAATATAAACAGTGATATTCAAATATCCTAGAGGGTCCAGATATTCATATGGTGGCAGGAGCAGGTGTGAAGTGTTCACAGGATATCAGGATATTCTCAAAGGAGAAGCGCGTGTGGGGGACTATAAATAAACGGGAACTCGGGATTCAGCGGATGCATGCACTGAATGACGCTCAGGCAAGATGATTGCAAAGGAAATATGATGTGGTGCTAACCTTGGGGTTGGCACCTTATCCCGAATACTCTGCGGGTTAAGACGTAGAGAGCTGCAAAACAAACGGCCAGACAAAAAAAAAAAAGGGAAAAAAAGAAGCTTGGTCTAATTGTGAGATGAAAACATTACATGGGAGCCATGCTGATGGACAAGCAGTGCAAATGCAAAACATACAATCACACATACACAAAGTCTTATGTCACTCACATTTCACATGTTCTTATACTGTATTAATGGAATATATACAGTATATATATATATATATATATATACAGAGAGAGAGTCTTATTTAGTTATGTATTAATTTATTTTATACTTAAAATCTTTGACATGCTGATGGTAAAGTGCCTCATACCTGCATACCTTTCAAAGGTTTGGGGTCAGTATATATATCTATTTTTAAAGAAATTCATATTTTTTTTATGCATTCAGTTGATCAAAAGTGGCACTAAATACACATTTCAAATAAACACTGTTCTTTAAACTTTGCATTCACCAAAGAATCCTCAATAAATAAATAAATAAATAAAAATATTAAGCAGCACAGCTGTATTTTATAATAATAAGAAATGTTTCTTGAGCAGCAAATAACTTCAAAAGGATCATGTGACACTGAAGGCTGAAGTAACGATGCTAAAATTCAGCTTTGCATCAAAGAATAAATTACATTTTAAAATATGTGACCCTGGACCACAAAACCAGTCATAAGGGTCAATTTTATGACAATTTTTGAAATTGAGATTTATACATTATCTGTAAGTTGAATAATTAAGCTTTCCATTGATGTATGGTTTGTTAGGATAGGACAATATTTGGCAGAGATATTTGAAAATATGGAATCTGAGGGTGCAAAAAAATCAAAATATTGAGAAAATCACCTTTAAAGTTGTCCAAATTAAGTTCTTTGCAATGCATATTACTAATCAAAAATTAAGTTTTGATATATTTACAGTAGGAAATTTATAAAATATCTTCATGGAACATGATCTTTACTTCATATCCTAATGATTTTTGGCATAAAAGAAAAATCGATCATTTTGTCCCATGCAATGTATTGTTGGCTATTGCTACAAATATACCCGTGCTACTTATGACTGGTTTTGTGCTCCAGGCTCACATATATTAAAATAGAACCGAGTTATTTTAAATTGTAATAATATTTTCACAATATTACTGTTTTTACTGTATTTTTAAAGCTTATAAGCGTTAGAGATTTCTTTCAAAAACATTAAAAAAGACTCACCCCAAACATCTGAATTTCTTAATATTTAGACACATATAAAGTACATATTTCATATAATTCATTAAATGTGTTGCAAAGTGCAAAACACTATATCAGAGCACTGTCCAACAATGCTCAATCTGTTTCCAAAATTTAAAAAAAGGAACTTGCACTCCTCTAGTTCTATGTTCTCTTGCCCAGGCGGGACTGCCTCTGTAACAAAGGTTTCTTTGCAGTTCCTCACTCCCCTGCGAACAACTGATGCTCACACATTTGAGTAATACTTTGCTGAGCTGGTATTTTAGGAGCAGCTTAGGAACAGTATAGTTGGTGTTGCAGATCCTGTTTTCTGATACCATCACCCACCTTGTCCTGCCTGACCTCACCGATCCTCATGAGGGCCAATTAATTCTAATTAACTGATGCTTTTGGCAACAGCAGTGACGGCCATTCCCACAGCTTACATTACCCTTGAAAAGATACCATAGTACTTTGATATATACCATGAAACTGAATGATTACCTTGTTCTGATATTAACTGGAGCTCAAATTTGGATTCACCAAACTCTGATTATTAAAGGGTGTTCAGATAAGACGCATTCTTCTGTTCAAGCACAAAAGTCTCAGTTAAAGTGAAACATTTTCAATGAAGTGAAGCTGGTCAGTATTCAGGATTTATTCATGTTAAAGCACTAACACAAATTATTACCCGATTTAGCAACACAAAAACTTCATATATTTGATTAAAAATACAGTAAAAACATTAGTATTGTGAAATATTATTGCAATTTAAAATATCTGTTTTCTATGTTAATATATTTTCAAATGTAATTGATTTCTGTGATGCAAAGCAGAGTTTTCAGCATCATTACTCCTTTCTTTAGTGTCACACAATCCTTCAGAAATCATGCTGATTTGCTGCTCAAGAAAAATTTCTTTTTATTATCAGTGCTGAAAACAGTTGTGCTGCTTAATATTTTTGTTCTTTGATGATTCTTTGATGGATTAAAAAAATTTATTTAACTTCATTGTCACTTTTGACCAACTGAAGAAAAAAAACATACTAACCCCTAATTTTTAAACCGATAATATACGTTTTAATGTAGACTGCCTGTCCTTATGGACTTCCAGTGTAACTATGATTTTTGCTCTTTTTTAACCTGAGGCATGAGTCGAAATGATCTTCTGTGGTAATCCACATTATGCCATGACAGCCGTTGATAGAGCTTAACTTGTATTGAACCTGCAACGTTCCTTTAAAATCCAGCTTTTAGAGAGAGAATGAGAGAGAGATTACAGTCCAAGATGTCCTGACGCCTTTATCCTTGAGATATTTCACCACACAGGAAGGAACTTCATCAAAATTCATCCTCAGCTTGAGATCTTGTTAACTCTAGATGATTAGGGTGTTATGAGCGGGGAATCTAATTTCGGCTGTGCGAGGTTTAATCTTAATCACCAATTCAGCCCACGAAACCCAGGGCTGCCCCCTAAACCAGCTGTTTGGAGAAAGTCAAATATTGCAGCTTCATGTTCCTGTTATTGCGGTGTGAATGGAGCCAGATATGACTGCGGCGCCTAGCGAAACCTTTGACTGGATGAATATTTGAAAAGCATTTCAGAGCCGAGCACTTCACTTTCCCAGAGGAGTCTGTGTTCGGGGATGCATTCATTACGGCCTTCATTCTCGATGTGTATCTTCACCCCGGCCAAAACAAACCGCAGCAATTTCATCAAAGATGTGAGATGCAGCGATCTCGTAATCAGTCATGATGGAGCCCTCGGTGTCCCCCCGCGCACTTTCTATTCTCTGCCAAAATTGCGAGTTCAACCGCTGGCAGCCTTGCCGTCCGTGATTGAGGATAGAATCGGTCGGTTCGCCGCCCATTGTGCATATTTATTTACTTCCAATTACCATTCTCAGCCGTCTGTGTCAGGCATACTCATATAATACAGTCTTTGTTGGGCGAAGAATACCAAATTTAAAAAGGCGTACCTCGGCCATGTGAAGTGTGAGAGACATTTGCACACATCCGCACACAGTCACACAAAGAAAACATTGCTTCATGTTACAAAATATGGTAAAAACGATGGCAATCTACAAGCATAGAAGCATCAGCGTTAGCTTTTGGAGCCCCTCAGCATGTGGCCCCCAGACAAACTGCAATTCTGTGGCAAAGGCAACAGCTGGGCTATCAAGTGCACAAGCCATGCAGAGAATCTCGCATTTGTCAGGCTGCCCGATACATTGTCCCGCTAATATCATCATGCATCACGGAATAGCCTATGAATCATCACTAGGCTGCTTCCAGTTGGTGATACGGTCAAACATTCACTCAGAAGCATGCTGTATCATTTTTAGATTTGTAGCGAACATATGGAAGCTGATAAATGAAGCATGAGACGCTATTAATATGAGCAGGGGAAGCACATCCTCTGATTCCATGATAACGCAATAAAATGAGCTAATCCGTACTTGAAAATCATTATGTGATTAATGCAGTGTAAGATTTGAGAGGCCTCATCACTTCTAGTGTGAGATGAATGCACTTTTCTTTAGGGATCTCACATTACAGATCTGGCACAAACCACACTAGCTCCAACTAAGGGCATTATGGGTAATGCAATCACAAACAACATCATTTAACTTAAATAAAAATGACAACAGCAACAACAACAAAACACCAACAATAAAAAACATAATAATAGTAATAATAATAATAATAATAATAATAATGCTGTTGTTGTTATTTGTATTTACATTTTTGTTAATAATAATAACAATGTGATCATTTTTATAATTTTTAATACTTGCTTAAGGGAATTATGGGTAAGGCAATCACAAACAACATTTAACTTATATAATAATAATAATAATAATAATAATAATAATGCTGTTGTTATTTGTATTTACATTTTGGTTAATAATAATAACAATGTGATCATTTTTAATACTTAAGGGCATTATGGGGAATGCAATCACCAACAACATTTAACTTATAGAATAAGAATGAGAATAAGAATAAGAATGCTGTTGTCATTTCTATTTCTATTTTGGTTAATAATAATAATAATGTGATATTTTTTTAAATCATTTTTAATACTTTCTTATCTTATTTACTTTTCTTTTCTTTACTTTTTTCTTCCTAAGCTTTCCTATTATTGTACAAACATCTTACATTTTCTAAGTCTTTAAAAATGTATGTTTTTTTTTCAATACATGAGTGGACTTCCATGTCTTTTTTAGACCTCAAACTAATCCTGCAGGAATGTGGTGCTGTTGCAGCAACTGCTCATTGTACCTTTTAATTATTCCAAATGACTGAACCACATAATATTGGGTGTCATGCAGAATATCTCAAAGACAAAGCGGACAACTGGCAGGTATTTTCTTACGACTAACCCAGTTAGTTAGCATGAAATTCAGAAGCATTATGTCCCGGGATGTAGTCTTGCTTATTTTCAGCCATGTGACCTGACCTTGCAGCTACCACTTCAGTGAGGGCATTACAAGTCACCAATTCATTCTACAGTTTGTGTTGGAATCAAATGGATCATGTAAATCAGTATGTAAAACATTATGCCAAACTTAGGACAGAATATTGTCCATAGAGGTTTTGTTCAATTTTGTTAAGGTATGAAAATGCATTTCATAAATGGCAACTGGTGACTTGCTGTGCTGTTGTTAAGTGGCTAAAAGAAGGTTACAGCATCATGGAAGTATAGAAGCACCCTTAGCTGGCCCCCCACAGCACTGTTCACCCCTAAAGCAGCAGTTACTCACGCTGGCACTGGCCCCAGGAGATACGTGTCCAACCCCAGCAGCAGTCGATGCGGGCGCCGTACCGACACAGCCCATTGGACGAGGCCATCTGTCTGGGCCACCTGTCAGGACACAGTTTGATCAGACCTTGACCAATCACTGCACAGAAATCAGTTACATGGGAATAACATTGCCAAAGAATTACTATCTGTCTTACTGTCTGCCTATCTATCTACCTGTCTGTCTGTCTGTCTGTCTATCTATCTATCTATCTATCTATCTATATCTCTCTCTCTATCTATCTATCTCTCTGTCTGTCTGGCTGTC